CTTCCATTTTTGACATGACGTCACACTTTGATGTCACAATGCAGTTGCGTCATAATGTAAAATAACAACTTTAGCCCCCAGAATCCTTATCATATGTATAAATTCTATGGAACATGTATCTAATAGGCATTATGTCTTACACAGTGTCAACCTGAGATTATACTGTATGGTTTACTACATAAATTAAAACAAATAAAGCAATTTTCTATGAACTTACAGGCAAATAAATGTGGCAAATGTCATCAAATGCTACTCCTTAAGGGTGCAAAACACAGTTTTATGTATGACGTTATCAGGACGTTACTCGGTGAGGGACAAGCAAAACTGACCCCTATAAAAAAATAAAATGGAGGCTTGTTACATAGACTTCTGCATATCAATGGAAAGATAAAATTGTGAATTTTGTAAATATCCAACTAAAATACATCCATCAATTACTACTAGGGGATATTTGACACCTGAAATAAGGGGGATATTGGGTTGTTTATGCATCAATTTTCAGTGCACTTGTGCATTTTTAACCCCCCTGCTCAACAAAAACAGGAAAAATCTGACAAAATAAGTTATGTGCATTTCACAGAACAAGTCCTCAGGTTTTCTTTTAGTGTGCTTTTAGGGTACATTTTCCACCACTTGAAAAAGCTACATTACCTGCTAATTGACTCATGCAATTCTGCACATGTGAAAACCGGATGTTTTGGGAGTTATCTCCCCCTATTAAAGAGTCTCACAATTTTTTTTTTCTAAAAATGAATGCACATTTTTTTCTTTAAATATTAAGATAAGACTCTACTTTATGCGAATAAAAACAAAAAAGATGCAGTTTTCATCTAGACTCCTATAAATAGCAGGAAAATCTCTACCCAACATGCTTCTCTCTGGGAAAAACCCCCTGGATTTTATACGAAACTGTGTTTAGCTAACTTAGATTTTTTTTTTAATGTTACTGATACTGCAAATTTATAAAACATTTGATACAATTTTTTATACTGTAATTTATTCGTTATATAAAAATGATATTCTGTCACAGTGTGAAAGGATATCAAAGTGATATCCTTTCACAGTGTGACAAATATCAGAAGTGCGGGAAAACTTTCAAAAGAATGTTAAAAAATACTCCTTGGTCCATTAGGAAATAAATAAACAATTCTGACATTGAATAATTCTGCCAAAGATCCCCAAAATATATTGTTGAAATCCTTGTTTACAACGTTTTTAATTTCCCAACACTTAGCTATGACGTTTCAACCGCTCAAGTATGACGTCATGTGGGCTATGACTGCATTATAGAAAAAGACACCTATAGAAGAAAAGGAAAAATCAAAGAAAACAAAATAAACAGAATTCAATGTTTTATAGCGAGGCGGCACGAAGCACCGCTCGCATAGCGAGCTCAATAGACTAACGTGTACGAACGGAGGAAATTCGGGTTGAAATCTGCACATAATGTTCCAAGAAATTTTTATCTCACCGCGTGAAAAAATTCCAAACTCCCAATAATCCTTTGTGGTGCATAGCAACATGGTGGCTAAAACATAGCAACAACTTACTTGAAAAAAATTACAAAAAACGATTTAATGCAATCTCCATGCCACAAAACTATCGTTTGCGTTCAGAGTCAACAGGACTTTTTATATGACCAGACGTCATACTTTCGTCACTAAAGGCTCAGGTATTTCCGATTTTGTCGGAAACTTCCGAAAAGTTCGGAATCTCGATCCCGATGCCTGGGAAGCGCATGATTTCTTTTTATTCTTTTCTTCTTTTTAATGAACTGAGGATAGGCAGTGCAAGTTAAAGCTTTGTAAAGTTTTTTGATAGTAAATAAGTGCGCTCGCCCCAACGGTCGCACCGTAGAACATAGTAGTTCAATATGGAAAATATCAAAATCCTGTCCCACTCGTTAAAATATTCCATTTTCAATGACAAAACATTGAATATCCTCTATATAATTATATACATGATATATCTAAGGAAAATATTTTGATATTATAACAAACAATGTTGGATTGTCGTCTGCTATGTAAACACATGGCAGTGTACAGAAATAGCTGGCTCATGAATTGTATTTTTAAAAAATTACCAATTCTGTAGTCTATAGATATGCATGACGGCAAAAGTATTGGGTAAGCGCAGTTATTCTACATTTCTTACTCGATACACCTTAGGGCTGTGTATTGAGCCAAAAATTTCGATACCGATACGATACAATATTTTTAAAAGCGATATGCATTATATTGGATTCTAAAACAAGTCCATCAGAAAAGGCTTCTAAATCATTGTAATGCATGAATTTCATAACAATTAAGTGTTTTATTGCCCATTTTAAAGTTCTTGTCTCACTGTCATTACAATAACACTTCAAATTAAAACTTCTTATGACAGTAAAATCAACATTTTCAAATAAAATTCTCTTTGTATTTTGTATTAATTATAAAAACTGTGTTATTTCCTTACAAATAATTATTGAACAGTTTTAATTCAAAAAAGTGAAATATAATCTTTGGTGATTGAAATTCCAATCTTTTTAACAGAATTAGAAAAAAAAACTGTCTGTCCAATACATATTGCAAGTATTTTTCGATACAATATTATTCTTGAATATCGATACATATAGATATATTGATACAGCCCTAAAGCCCCTAATACACCTTCAGATCAAATTTAAAGTAAAGTCCATTAGTTTGCGCTTTCATGTCTCTAAGCTTGCTATGCTTTCTTAAAAGGCAGATCCAGGGCTGGTGTGCAGAATCCAATTACGTATTAAGTATTATCGTCATAGTTTTTAATTTACATCAAAATGTAAAAGGTAATGACCTAAATGATAATAAATCTGGAATGTTTCGAATAGAAAATATCTGAGGTACAGTCAAAGAATGACATATAATTTTACCCAGATTGCAGGATTTGGCATCTCTATTTTCAAAATTGTCAGGGAAAGGCCCCCCGTACCCCTGCCAGTAGGAAGATGAAATCCCCTCCCACACCTACCCCCTTGTCATTTCGTGACTAGGCCAACAGCCAAAGGCTTCGGGACAACTACACTCTAATACATGAAGAGGGTTGTGCCCCGCTGGCAGCTATGGTTAGTTAACGTCCATTCCTGCTGTGCAGCCCCCCCCTGTTGACCAAATACCTGGATTCACAACTGCTCTATTAAGAATATTGAAGAAATCATGATTAATTGTATTTCCTGATATATCTAGCTCATGTGTTGTTTGAAAGTGACTATAATGTAATTGAAATCAAAGAACAAGATGTGTTTGTGAAACACTGATGCCCCTGTATGGTAACTTAAAGAAGATAACACTTTTCTTAAATGCAAATTTGATATATTGGTACCCAAAGTAGGGAATTTTCACTGGAAATACAACTGTGAAATATGAAAGTAGGCCAAGGTTAAAGTCTTTCATGAGTACAAAAATCTTCAAGTTCAAGGTCAAATAGTCAAGATTATTGGTACATTACTGTATTCAATGAAAGGTCTTGCCACAAAGAAAACATTTGGAAGCCCTAATTGTAACCCTTCAGAAGTTATGGCAAAGGTCAAATATTTTTTTAAAAAGGTCAAATTCCAAGGTCAAGGTAAAAATTCTTGATTTCAAATGAAAAATCTTGTCACAATGATTAAATATGAAAAGTATGAAAGCACTAGCCTTAACCCTTCAAAAGTTATGGTCAAGGTTTTTATTTCAAAAGTAAATCAAACTGCAAGGTCAAAGAGTCAAAGTTTCTGGTATCCAATAAAGGGTCTTCTCAAAAGTATAAAGTATGTAAAGTATGAGAGCACTAACCCTTAGTTTTCAAAATTTATTATGAAGGTTAAAGATTTTTCATAAGTACAGAAATAAGGTTAAGGTCAAAAGGTCAGGGTAATTGGTGTCCAATGAAAGGTTTTGCCAAGAAGAATACTATAGTTAAGTATAAAAGTCCTAGTTATATGCCCTAAAGAGTTATGACCAAGGTTAAATAGGTCAAACTCCAAGATCAAAGGGTCAAAGTTCTTGATATCAAATAAAAGGTCTTGTCACAAGGTTTAAATATATAAAGTATGAAAGCACTAGCCCTTACCCCTGAAAGTTAAGGTTAAGGTTTGCTTTTTAGAAGTAGGTCAAACTCCAAGGTCAAGGTCAGAGTATGAAATGTGAAATATGAATGTCATAACTCCACTAAATCAACATGTGATCAAATGTTATGGGAAAGGTTAAAGTTTTGTAGACAAACAGACATACCGATGGGCACCACAAAAACTTTATACCCCCGAACTTCGTTCAAATGGCATAAAAATAAATTGGTGTATTTGTTAATTTGGCAAGATATATATTGCACGAGAAAAGCCAAAAAGTAGGTGGAATGCAACATCAAGGTTGGTACTCGCCTTGGGGCCATAAAACTTAAATGAGCTTGCTTTTGATCCCATTCTAACTTTTTCTGATGGATTTAATAGTGGAAAAGTGAGAGTGAGATCAAAAGTGAGCTAATCTAAGTTTTATGGCCTCATAGCCTGCTACTGAAGAGAGCAATCCTAGGTCCACAATTTAAAAAATCCCCCTCCTGACTCTTCAGTTCAAAGTTATTATTATAATAATATATATTAACTGTGTGCTTTTCAGTGCGACGTGTCCTTGATGGCCTGCCTGGATCCTGAATTATCATGTGCTATATGTCTAGAACTGTTTGTGGATCCCTGTACGTTGACATGTTTGCATTCTTATTGTCGTGGATGCATAGTGAAGCTTATAGAGGAAGATGTTACTGCAAACCGAACCAGAGTAACGTGTCCCCAGTGTAGACATGTTCAAAATCTTGGTGCCAGGGGGTATAAAGCCATAAAGAGGAATTCTACACTGGCAAACATTGTAAATAAATACACAGGTAGTGGTTTACATGCTTCAAAAAAGTCACAAAATGCAGGTAAGTAAATAAAGAATATTTAGAATTGCTATTTTCTACAATTTTGTTTAGATTTACATGTATATAAATCATTAAAAAAAGAATAGTTTTACAATTTTACACCAATTACAATTATACTATCGGAAGGGTTGGAATAAGTTCTTTTTCCATATATACAAGTAGTACAACGTAGGGCTGTCACGGTTAACCGAAAACTCGGTTAACTGCTCCGAAATGGCATTCGGTTCGGTTTGAGTCAGGTTTTCCGGAATTCGGTTCGTTTTTTTTTATCATTTATATAATACTAATTTGCTTGCAACACGTGTTGTGATTGGTTGTTTATTTCAATGAAGGGTTTTTTTACCAATGAAAATACAGGTAACATCGAAGACATTTAAACATGGCATACACATGTGAAAGGAAGGTTGCACAACAGTATTAATTTCTGCTATATATTTTTACCAAAATTACTCACCTTTAGTTTGGCCTCACTCATTCAAAACAAACATCTCACATGTTTCACTTTCACATCTTGTAGTACTACTGTTACTAAACATTTCGGTACAAAAAAATACATACCCATCCAGCAAGGCGTTCAAGTTTGTTTACATCAAAGTCAATTAGGTGCTTGAAAGCCATGTGTTTGGCCTCATCACTCAATCCTGAAATAAAATTTAGAAAAAATATTTACTGGTCTCATTAATTTTTTTCTTCTATTTTTTCTGGAAAAGAATATACTGTTTTACATCTCAGAAAAAATATGGGCACCTACCTCTCTGCTAAAGTCCTGAAATCAAGGGAAAAACTCAGGAATTATTTTCCGTCGGCCATGATTTGACGTGAACCTAAGGCCTAATACTGTTATGACACCTGCAATAAAAATTAAAATTTTTAAAAAAAATTATTTATTAAATGAATAATAAGTTTATAGATTTGTGTATGTAATGGTGTATTTGATTTTTTTTATTTCATGCTAATAAAGCAGTGTAGGCCAAATGAAAAATGTCTCTGTTTACCTGATAAATGTGTGTAACTGAAAGATTTCATATGTACATGGTCAGAGAAGATCTACAAAGGTAAAGGACTCACCTCAAAGATGTACTGGAGAGCTACGGATTTCCATGTCAAACTCCTATTCCTGTGGAAGGTGACGGACGCTACAACAATCCCCTCTACTGGTCCAGAGACAGGAACCCATTTCAACTTGCAATGCAAAGTACATATACCACTTCAGAAAATGTTACACCAAGCAAAAAAATTATTGGAGTGGTCACAAAAAACAAACTCTGTCGTAAGCGAAGCCAAGGAACCAAGTGTCCAGAGCATCCCGGAAAGTGTACTGCCACCTTAATGATGGACCAGCCCATTGGTAGGGAGGACTTGGCCACAGAGGAAATCTGTCGTGAGTTCCTAAGTGACCCAGAGCCTACTTACATTGGCCAGATCACCACTGATGGAGACAGTGCGGCCTACCGTGGAGTGCAGAAGGCAATGAAAGAGCATGGACAGACCGTGGAGGCCTTACGAGATACTCGTCACCTCGCCCAGTCACAGAAGAAAGCAATTGATGCTGCAAAGTTTAGTCCAAGAATGTTTCTGGGTAGAACCGCTGCAGACAAAGAAGCCACCAAGAGAAATTTCTCCGTCGACCTAATGAAGAGATGTACTGCAGAGTACGAACACGCACTGAAAAAATACCCAGGTGACACAGAAAAGCTGGTCAACGTACTGAGCCATGCAACAGATGCTATCGTCAATTGCTACTCGGGCAAATGTGGAAGGACATGTGCCAGCCACTCACTAGTATGTAGAGGCCTACCTGAAAAATGTTGGCCCAAAGAGTTTCTCCCACCCCATGCAAGGAAACATTGCAACCCACAGAAGAAGACCAGGCCACCCTACGTCAGCTAGTGAACTTCCGCTTTAACAGGAATACACTTACCTCTACCAGGTTTGGGACCAACACCCAGAAATCCGAGGCACCTCACAGAGGTTATTCGAAGTCCAATCCAAAGAATGTTACATGTTCCGTGAACTTTGAACCCCAGATCTACTCCGCCATACACAGGATGAATCATGGACCAGGAAATTCCACTACCATGAAGTGTGCTGCCCTTGGAGCTCCACTGCCGTCAAACACCCGTGTGACCCGTCAACTGCAAAAAAAGACAAAAGAAATATCAATCTGACAAATTACGAAAAAAGTCTGTGACATACCGTAAAAAAAGACTAGAGCATGTGAGAGAAAAATTTAACATGTACTTTCAAAGAGGGACTGATACAAATTTCGGATACGTGAAGAGGATGAGTGATCCCCCCTTACCAAAGAGAAGTGAACATTCTTACAGCAAAAGCAAAAATGACTTACCTTCAGTTCTCAAACAGACAATCGGGATGGCCCGCGTGCCTCAAACAGACCTTGGGGACTAATTTCTTACATAACTGTCTCTCGTTATTGACTGCCGCATCCTCTAAACTTAGGTGTAGTGGATTGATGCATAAACTATTGTGACATATGTGTGAGATGTGCTTATCATGTGGAATATGTAATGTGTTTGTATGAAGCATGTACATGAATCTGTGTGCTAGTAGAACTTTTTTCGTGTTGTCTGGAAATGTGATTTTTACCCTCTCATATGTTGGCCCTGTATTATTTCCCCTCCGCCTTCTATTTGTTGCTAAATTCCCATCAAAAAAATTACACCCCAACCTATTCACCCTCCCCCTATCAACTTTTTCCAGCAAAATCTCTAATTTCTCCCGCCTCCAGTCAGCATCCATGATGAAGATAAAAAAATCCCTTTAAGGACCCAGACTCCCCATATAAGTTAAAAATAACATGTAAGTTTCATTTAAATATAAACACTTACCTTCCGAATGCCCTCGCTGCTGGTTGCACAACAGTATTAATTTCTGCCATACCGGTATATTCTTACCAAAATTACTCACCTTTAGTTTGGCCTCACTCATTCAAAACAAACTTCTCAAATGTTTCACTTTCACATCTTGAAGTACTACTGTTACTTAAGGTATTCAATCCCTAATGGGAACAAATTCAGTGAAATTGAATACATAACTGATGTGTATGCATTGAATACTCAGCATATTTAGACATATTTCCCATTTATTACTATTTTTAATGTTTCAATGCATCTTTCCACCGCAGGATTTATTGACATTCAAATTATTTGAATTTTTATTTTGAAAAAACGCTTTTCCGCATAGACTTCAATGCAATCTTTATTAATTAACTACTGCTTAATTAATGACATTTTTAAAACTTTCTCGCGGGCAATCCTTTTCCACTCTAAAATGCTTTAATATAACATCAGTGTATTATGTACTTGACATACATTTAAGGGTAGAGAATTAGGTCCCATTAGGGATGGAAATCCTTAACATTTCGGTACAAAAAATACATACCCATCCAGCAAGGCGTTCAAGTTTGTTTACATCAAAGTCAATTAGGTGCTTGAAAGCCATGTGTTTGGCCTCATCACTCAATCCTGAAATAAAATTTAGAAAAAATATTTACTGGTCTCATTAATTTTTTTCTTCTATTTTTTCTGGAAAAGAATATACTGTTTTACATCTCAGAAAAAATATGGGCACCTACCTCTCTGCTAAAGTCCTGAAATCAAGGGAAAAACTCAGGAATTATTTTCCGTTGGCCATGATTTGATGTGAACCTAAGGCCTAATACTGTTATGACACCAAAACCAAATCACAAGTGTGGGAATACTTCAGGTTTTTGAAAGTAGGGGTGGTTGACAAAACAATTACTGTGTGCAATGTATGCAAATGTGAATTTAAATACACAATGGGAAGTACTTCCTCGATGAGCAGTCATCTTAGTCGGAAACACGGTATTGACATCAAACTATTGACATGACCAATAATTGAATGTTTTAATTGTTTGAAACAAGATAACTCTAGTCAATAACTATATTTATTTTATTTTATTTTAAACAAGAAGTTTATTACTTTGTTATTTTTTGTTACATTTAACAACTTGTTCTGTTGAATAAAATGGATAGAAATTTGTGTCGGCAAAATAGTACTTTCTACAATGTCCTTAATCCTTATTATCCTTTGATATATATAAAGATGTTTTATTTAGATTCTCAAAATGAAAACCGAACCGAAAAAAACGAAAACCGAGAATTTATTTTCTGAACCGAACCGAACCGAAAAATGTCTGAACCAGGGCAGCCCTAGTACAACGATACCAAACGTTTTGTGACAATTTGTACTACAAACGTATGGTCATGTCCTAAATATGAAAATATTTCTGTATACAATTGGTAAAAATTTACATTTAAATTAATGGTATTCGAAGTAGGATAAGTTAACTTTTACCCCCCCCCTCCTTAAAAAGTTGGAGGGTAGATGTGTATAGAGAGATAGGAATTCCCATTTGTCCCTGTGCTAAGCTTTTGGATACCCACATCTTTTCTGCAACTTCTGTAATACCACTGAATGAAATTTAATGAGACTTTTACAAAATCTCTATTGTATAGTGTCATACACACAATAACATAATACACACAACATCATGACAATACAAGTAAAACTTACTGAAGCTAATTAAGACCTTTCGATTCACCTCGGCTGACTAGGGTACCCAGCATCAAATGGTGTATTAATCGGCCAAGGTATGCTGAGGGATTAACTGGACATGAGTACAGTAAAACTTGTTTAGTACCAACACGGATATAGCGAATTCACGGATATAGCGAAGTTATTCTGGGTCCCCGGCAAAATTCTTACAAAGCTTTGTTAAATTTTACGCTTATAATGAACTCTGATATAACGAATTTACGGATAAAGCGAACTGATTTTGAGTCCCGTAGAGGTTAAATATAATGAAATTTACATCTTTTATAATGAACTTTCAAAGATTATAAAAATAAATTATAAATAGAACTGGTCCCTAAGACTTCGCTATAACCGAGTTTTACTGTATTGTCAAGTCGTACATAAAATTTCAAAGTTGAAAGGTAATAAAAACGCGATATTGTAAAAGAATAGTTCACCTATTAATTTGAAAATGAATAGGTTTACTCTTTTTAAAACGCCACAGAAGAATGTCGAAGCTGAGAATTGATAATCCAAAATTTCTATTTGAATCTTACCCTCAGCGTCTGCGTCAGTGTCCGGGGTTAAGGTTAAGTATTTTTGAGCAGTTTTCTTTTTTAAGTACAGTCAATTCTCGAATTATCGCCATTAGATTCATCTCCATTTTCACAATACCGCCATGAATTCCCAAGAATGTTTTTCCTGCTATATAAATTCTCTTTATAACGGCAAATTCGGATACCCCATCCGTCACCGTCTTTTAAAAACAAACGTCCATTTTTAAGTGTCAATTATCTCGATAATACCGGGAACATACTAAAGACCTGATATTCTAAAGACCTGATATTTTGACCTGATGAAAAAAAAAATATAAAATTATCAATTTAAAGATTATATTTCAAATATAAGTTTGAAAATTATTGATGAATTCATGATTTCTGAATTACAAAAGGTGGCAATTTATCAAGAATTAACTGTACTTCTATATCCTATACTGGAGTATTGATTAGACATGCATGGAAGATGTTTCTAGTGTGTTTCATTGTATCAGTCAAAGTTTCAGATACTGCAATTTCAGCAAAGAAATGACCAGGTTAATGTTTTTGGAGCAGGTTAACATTTTTGGTGCAGTTTTTGGTGTAGGTCTCATTTCCGAGTAACTATAAGCCCTATGTTGGCTAAACTTGCATGGATGGTACATCTTAGGATGCACACTACCAGCCAGTACCAGGCTTGCTTCAGTTGCTAAAACTGACCTTTATTTTCCGCATGAGTGAACAGGTTTATGTTTTAGGTGCAGGTCTCATTTCCAAGTACATGTAACTACAAGCTATATAGTGACAAAAGTTGCATGGATGATACATCTAAGGATGCATACTACCAGACTTGCTTCGGATGCTGAATCTGACCTACATTTTCCGGTTGAGTGAACAGGTTAAATTTTTTGGTGCAGGTGTCATTTCCAAGGTTCTATGAGCCATATAATGACTAAACCTGCATGGATGGTACATCTTAGGATGTATACTACCAGACTTGCTTCGGAAGCTGAATCTGACCTACATTTTCTGCTTGAGTGAACAGGTTAAAGTTTTTGATGCAGGTTTCATTTCCAAGGTACTATCAGCCCTATAATGACTAAACTTGCATGGATGATACATCTTAGGATGCTCACTACCAGACTTGCTGCGGATGCTGAATCTGACCTACATTTTCTGGACGAGTGAACAGGTTAAAGTTTTTTGTGCAGGTTTTATTTCCAAGTAACTTTGAGCGCTATTATGACCAAACTTGCATGGATGGTACATCTAAGGGTGCATTCTACCAGGCTGGCTGTGGATGCTGAATTTGACCTAATTTTTCTGGATTAGTGAAAAGGTTAGTTTTTTATACAGGTTTCATTTCCAAGTAACTTTGAGCTCTATGTTGAGCAAACTTGCATGGATGATACATCTTAAGATGCACATTAATAGACTTGCTTCAGATGCTGAATTCGACATACATAACATTTTTCAGATGATGGACCTCGTAAAGTTATGGGTGCAGGTCTTTTACCAAGAAATATTAGGCTTATATAAACCAAGCTTGCACAAATGCACATCAAAGGATGAAGACTCTCAAACTTGCTTCAGATGCTGGATTTTGATTACGTTAACGTTTTCATGATGAAGAACTAGTTGAAGTTTTATATAGGTGTATTCCAAAGTATCAAATCAAAATTGCATAAATTTTGCATTTTGCGATGTACACTTTTTGTTGGTTTATTGTGTGACTTTGCCTCAATTTAAAAACAACATTCGTTGAGATGAGCTCTGTAATCTCTGATTACCTATGTTTTTGCTTTCAGATGTCAAAATTTGTCTAATTTGTCATGAAGAAATTTCCATCTCAGATGCTATGCCCATGCATATCAATCACCAATTATGTGATATTCAGTTAGGCAGGAAAATGCTCAGTGTAAGTAAAATTCTTTGGATAAAAAATGAAGGGATTAACTAAATGCCTTCTTAAACATATTTTTTGTATAAATTTTTGCCTCTTTAAGAAATCTTGTATGTATATATATTTGAATAATCTAAATTCAGGAAGAAATTTCAAAGAAGATCATGGCACTTGAAGATAGCCATTCTGATATATCCGAGTCTGTGAAAATCATAAAAGCCAATATTGCAAGTTTCAAAGTAAGTATTCTTTGTGCTGTTTATTCATGTGTGATAAAAAATTTTCTTATCCAAATGTAACAATATCATCCACAGTTTATGAGTTAAAAATAATAAGAGCTTTCAAATACAAAAAGGTTAAAATTAAAATCAGAGGCACATAGGCCACATCACTCACCTTAGCACATTGGCTAGGTAATAAAATGCAAATCAACTCAATACTGAACAGTTTATCTGCTGCATTTTTATGAGAAATATATAGAGATAATGAGCAGTATTCTAGCTCAAAAGTCCATTAAATAATATAAAATTGGAGTAGAGCAAAAACGGGCCTCTAAAAAAAACAGAGATGGGATCAGGTGCCTTGGAGGAGTGACCATCCCATGCTGACCGGTCACACCTGCTGTATGCTCCTTTTCATGATTGCATTGTTTGGAGGTGAAAATAGTACTTTTGGGATGCCTGCAACATTTTCTGGTGATGTTTCATATAAGTTAAAATACTGCTAGAGACATACAATTCAATCAATAAATGGTATCTTTATTTCATTTATGCATTGTTTAACAGAAGTGTCAAAAGTCTGCTGCGAATGACATCGAGTGTACTTTAGATACCAAAAGACAACATTTGGAAGAGTACAGAATTAGGAGTTTTCAAGAATTACAACAATACTCAGAGGGAATGTGCGGTGGAAAGGAAAAATTTATTGAAAAATTGCTTGAACACAACGTCAGAATAAACAAAAACCTAGAAGAAATACGATGCCCTAATTTGAATGAAATTGCATTACATGTAATGGTAGTGTAATGTGCATTACTTCATAAAATTCAGTGTAATGCTGGGTTGTGTCTTCGAGGGTGAAGACAATTTAAGGAAGGAGGAATGTAATGGTTTAGGCCATGGATATCGGCCTGGGTAGCTCAGTCGGTAGAGCACCTGACTAGTGATGTAGGGGTCCCGGGTTCGATTCCCGATCCAGCTAAACATTTTTTCCCCTGTTACATAAGTATACCTATTTTAAGAAATTAAAATGGACATGGGAATAATTGTTTTTAATTTTATCTAGCCTAAACTAATCCTTATATACATCATACTAATTTACAGTTGAAATATGCCTGAAATATTGTCAGCATTAAAAAAAACAGTAATAAATCAATCAGGTGTAAAAATGTTTACATCTTGTTTTACAGATTAAGCGAGCTGCTTGAAAAAATTCCCGATATGTGCACAATGAAGTCTGATATAAAATTTGACTTCAAATTATCGGAACCATTATTAGATGAAAGTGCTTTCACAAATAAATCAGGTACTTACTGTTTTAGCTCACCTGAGCATTTCTGAGTTCGAAGTCTGTCCCATTGTCTGTCATTGATGTTGTTGTCAGCTCTAGCCTTCGTCGTAAACTTTTCACATTTTCACATTTTCTTACTCTCAAGAACCACTAGTCCACTTGTCTAATTTTAACCAAACTTGGCACAAAGTATCCTTGGTTAAACAGGATTCTAGTTTGTTCAAATGAAGGACTACTTCTTTTTCCAAGGAAAAATAACTGTGAGTTTGTGAAAAATGTATGGCATCTCTTGAAAATACATTTCTCAAGAACCACTGTGCTAGTAAATACTAATCTTATGTGGAAGGATCCTCAGGTAGTTTAGATTTCAATTGATTTTTTTTAAATTATGACCCCCGGGGGGCAGGATGGGGCATTGGTGAGCAGTCAGTCAATGTTTTACATGGGAGTACATAGGGAAAATCTTTAAAAATCTTTCATTCAAGAATAGCAAAGCTATGATTAGTCATATTTAATTGGAATCATCCTCAAGTAGTGTAGATTCTGATCTGTTCCAATCATGACCCCAAGGGATAGGATTGGGCCACAATGGGCGATTACAGTTTTACATGGGAAAATTCTTCAAAATTCTTCTTCTTAAGAACAGCAAAACCATGATTGGTTATACTGAAATAGAAGCATTCTTAGGTGGTGTAGATTCAAATTTGTTCAAATCATGACCCCAGGAGTTAGGGACAGGCCACAATGAACTATCAAAGTTTTACATGTAGGAAAAATCTTCTAACCCTAACCATAGCAAAGCTATGATTGATCACATTTATGTTGAAGCATTCTCAGGTGTACATAGGGAAAAATCTTGAAAATATTCTTCTCAAGTACAGCAAAGCCATGATTGGCCATATTTGTATGGAAGCATTCCCAGGTAGTGTAGATTCAAGTATTATCAAATTATAGGTCAAAGTGAAAAGTAAAAAAAATATTTATACCCCCTTACAAGGTCTTGTCCCGATTAACACACATGTGAAGAATGAAAAGCACTAGCCCCAACTGTTCAAAAGTTATTATCAAGGTTAAAGTGTGGAATTTTCTTTGGAAAAATAGGTCAAACTATAAGATCAAGAGGTCAAATTTGGTGGTACTCAAAGAAATGTCTTGTCACAAGGAATACATTATGAAAGGTGAAAGCCATATCCCTACCCACTCAAAAGTTATGGTAAAGGTTAAAGTTTTGTGAACAAACAGACAAACGGACAGAGAGAGAGACAGACAGACACCAGAAGACTATAAACCCCTGAAACTTCGTTTATGGGACATAAAACTAAGTAGTCATTGATCCTTAGTAAGTCTACATTTAATTTTGTTAAAATCATACCCCTTCCTTTTAGGGGTTGGTTGGAACCACTTTTGCATAAATTTAAGCTTCTTTCTTTCCTAGCCATAGTGCTCAGGTTAGCAATTCTCCTAGGCCTCTTGTTCTGATGAACTTAAAACTGACACCTCCATCACTGAAGGCTATTAGATTGCTGTCTAGCTGTCTAGCACTACCCCAAAATAATGAAGAAAAATGAATACACATTACTACTGTTTATTTCAGAGGAGAAAATACACACCAACAATATGTGTATTTAATTATATCCTCCTTTTAAATATGTCTTAGATGAATTTAAATCAATTTAGATCCAAAAGCAGATCACTCCACTCGCAGAAATCCCCCCCCCCGAAAAACAAACTCTCCTTAGTGTGCAGTGTAGAGATGATTCTTCCACAAGTTAAATAAAATCAAGATTTCAATTACACAAGGTTCTCAAAATATAAAGTTAGGATATGTTTTAAACCCACAAAAGTATTGCTTAAAAGGTTTATCACTCTTCATGTAGAAAATTGATTGGTTTAGTCAGGAAAACTTTTTAAAAAGCTGTTACTTTATTGTTTTAAAAATCTTCTCCAAAATAGCTAGACCATTATTGATCATATTTATATGGAAACATCCTCAGGTAGTGTAGATTCAAGTTTGTTCAAATCATGACCCCTGGGAGTAGGACAGGGCTACAATTGATGAGCAAAGAAATATATAGGAAAAAGTTTTCAAAAACAGCAAAGCCATGTTGGTCGTATTTTAGTTTGGTATTTGGGAGGGGGGAGGAGGAGGAGCCACAATGTAAGTTCAAATGCAAAGGGCAATAAAGCCACAGGTAGTGAAAGAAATATGAAAGCATCCTTATTTAAAGGAGATTCAAGTTTGTTCAAATTATACCCTATCCCGTTTAAGGATTGGTTGGGAACACTTTTCAGTTTAAACTTCTCAATGAAATGATTTCTGCTCCTTTCTTAGCCACGGTGCTCAGGTGAGCAAAGTGGCCCATGGGCCTCTTCTTACATAATCTACCAAATTACTTTTATTATATTTGCAATTTTCTTTAAAAATGTGTGAAAAGGAACATGTTAAATTGTTTATTGTTATTACAGAATTCCAAGTCGATATACAAAGACGTGATGTACTTTTAAGAAGTGCCGATAGCTCTGTGTGTGTACGGATTTTTGGGGAGTCAGACGCCCCTAGAAGTGTGTTTGATGTCGTGTTTGTAACACAAAATGTAAATCCTGAATGTACCTTACGATATTCTAATGTTCATGGCAACAGTATTTTGTGTACTGCACTAACTCCGGAAACAGAATATACAGTCACAGTACAACTACATGAAGACAGAAATACTGTGTCAAAGCCGTATCTTTTAATAACTACACCATCCATTGAGTGTATGTATGTTTGTTATATATATATATATATATATATATATATATATATATATATATATATATATATATATATATATATATATATATATATATATATATATATATACACCTCTTGATCACAGGAAAAAAATTAGATGGTTTTCTCAAACAGTCGTTTTCAATGTTTGTTACTTTGTAAACATTCGACCGAAACTGCCCTAGTACATGTATAACAATGCCATAACTGATTTAATGCTCATTAAGGCAGTTAATTAATAATGAAAATGAAATGAAAATCTTTGATTTTGAAAAAAATATTACGATGAAAAGCCGATATAGTCTGTTTCGCGAAAAAGAAAATCCAGGAAAATAAACGTATGTTTAGTTTCCATTTTCATCGGTGTTAAAGATATGTAAAACATAAACTACAAATTTTAACAGTGAAACCCGGAATGAAATATTATTTTTTTTAATTTTTCAACGTAAATGGAAGCCCTGGAGGGACATTGACTTATTTGCTATGGCCACAAGCCCTTAGATCGCTTAGAAAAAAAATTAGGTGATAAAAAAAATAAAGGTTTTGAACTCTTTTCATAGGGTACCTTTTTTCGCCAATAAAATTCTTTTAAATTAAATGCTTTACAATTTTACTTTCTATCCATATCTATTCATATATATAAATAATATTCATTACTACCAAAGTTCATTCCGTAATTCTTTATACTTCTCGAGATATTCTGAAATCAATACCAAAATTGACCTTAATTTTTTTTACTCGACATCAGCTTGGGCCTTTGAAGAGCTACACTACATGCAATTTTTAAGCGGGAACGACGGGACAAATTTTCACCGGAAATTATTCTATACTCAAAGAATATTTGCACTCAAGCTTTACAAGGTTTTCTCTAATTTGATCATATGATCTTACTAGGTCACCAACAACATTTTAGCGGTCTAATTGTTTTTAAAATCGAAAGGTATGTTATACATTCCGGGAATATTCATTCAACCATAGCTTCTTTTACATTCATAATCATTATTGCAGACTGCGTGCAGTTCTTGATGTTGACGTTTTCAAATTATAATTTTTTGCGAAAAGAGTTATTACGGACTTAACCTTGCAATATGGGGGTAAGAAATCAACTTTAAAATGTTGAATTTGTAAATAATTAGTCCGTAGTAGGTTAATTTTTTAATTGATTTCAGAAAATCTCGAGAAATATATGGAATTCCGGAGTTAGCTTTTGTAGAAATGAAGATTGTTTATCTATGATAAGATTTAAATAGAAAGTAGAAATTTAGAGCATTTGATTAAAAAAAAAAATATTTTATTAGCGAAATTGTGTACCCTGTGCAAGTGTTCCATATCTTGATATTTTTTTTACACACACAATTTTTTTAAGCAATCCAAAGGCCTGTCGTTATGACATAACTTATTTGTTTTGACTCATTTGATTTATTGCTGGTATGTTGTTTAAAGTCCCTCTTGAGAATTTTTCACTCATATGGAGACGCCGTGCCTTGCCGGTGGAGAGCTACAAATTTTGTCCTTTACTCGGCAATCAGCTCCATAAAGCAGTGATGAGGGACCCTTTTATGCCAGCACCTACTGCGACATGGGACCTCGTTTTATACGGTCTCATCCGAAGGACCGGTCTCCACGTCCGACGTGACTTAATTGTCATAACTTTTTCTAGGAAACAAAAAAAAAATCATGACAATTAAGTCACAACCAATAAGAAGTAAGTCCATGTCCTTCTTGGGCTTCCGTATTATTGACCTGAGAAACAGAGAATTGAAAGAAATATGTACGCTATCTCTCGATTCTCGCCTTCATTTTGGAACCATTTGATTCAATTTAAATAGCAATTTGGCCATAAAATTTTTGTTTAATACAAAGAACAGTTCAATGGTAATTGAATAATTGTCTTAATACCAGCGCTAAACATGTAAATTATCCACTATTCCAGCTCTTGAAAAAAGGGGGATAGACGATATTTTCCACTGAAATCGGAGTTTCAAGCATCACCATATTTTGAAATAGTCTTGGAAAATTATTAAATGTTCCTTATATCTTTTCTTATTTTTTATGCAAATAAATAAAACATAAATTTATCAATAAAATATAATGTTTCAGTTGTAAATCGCTTTGAAATTGGTGGAAAATTTGCATTTTTATCGTTTTTTGTGAATAAACGTATGTTCCCCCCGTGTCACACAAAAAAGCTTTGGTATGAATTTGTGAAATATTCCAAATTACCTGTAAAAAGGAATTTTTGTGACACGGAGGGGTAGGGGGAGAGAAGATGTTTCAAAAATAATTTCCTTTTTCCATTGATTTCTATAGTGAAAAATAAGTTTTACCAAAATTTTAGAGTTACCTCTCTTGTTTTCCCAAATAAGTTATGTTTTATGAAAATCCAGATAATTATCTAAAATAAACATTAAAAGTTAATCGAATATGTTAGCTTTTGAAAATTGACTTGGAGGTAGGCGGGAGAGCAATACTACTGTGCGCAGTTCTTTTGTGTTATATTTCAAAGAGTTAAAATTGTATTTATTGCAAATGATTTGTCAAAAGCATTGTAGGCGGACGGGAACGTTAAAACTTTTGTTTGTTTTCTTCAGAGACAAAATATAACTTACCGGTAGAAGTAACATCATACACTTTAAAGTTAGCAGAGAAGTTGTATATGTATGACATTAAAGAATCGAAACAGTACTCGTTTTTGTCTCTCTGCAAGAAAATTAAACCTAAAACGATTGACTTGTTGAGCCCCTTCTTAAAGAGTGCTTTGCCATCAGTGAGATGCTTATGATACTCATGTTAAGCGGAAGGAAAAGTAGTGATAAATATGAGAATGACGTTAAAAAGGGACGTTAATTAGGCTTGCTTACGTGCCCAAGCGTACATCTATATGCCTTTTTAACTTTTGCACAATTTTCCTTTTTAATGGTTGATTATTATGTAGCATGATATTCTTGAAATGATGTATTGCTTTTCACTGTGATGAGAAGATAAGTTTAATACGTCAAAGTGAACTAAATTGCTTTCCCTGTCTACGACTGTTTGGGTTCACCCTCGTAAATGTTTAATAAGTAACAAAACATCTTTTCAATGACCAGAATTTTTTGTATTCCCTGCAATCAATGACTTGGTTTTTGATGATTTATAATGATCATGTTGTCTTTCCTACGCAAAAATGTTTAATCTGTCGAAAGATGTGTGTTTAACAGATAATCAACGATATTAAAAGAATTATAAACAAATAGTATCCGGTATATTATAACTTCATGAGACCCAGTGTACTTTGCCTGTGCATACTTTTTCAGGCAGTGTTATTTCAAACGAGTCAAAGTACCCTTGATTACCGTCAACATTAACATCACAGTTAGAAAATGTCAAATGACACTAAAATATATTTAAAAATTATCACAGTAATGAATAGGAAAATTAATACCAAAATTTAAAAACCCATTAAGCTTCGCACTAAAAGTGCATGTAAATGTAGGTATAAATGAAATAAAGTGTTTGTTGAATTCAGTCTGTGAGGACGGTCGACGTCAGTCTTTGCTTATTCCAAGTTCCCTGCAATGTAAGGCCACCTATCGAGGACTGAAATTTGAATCGGATCGAATGTATTGAAAACTGGTGAAATTAAATATGTCCCTCAGTAAAGAGTGCTTCGCAAGTTTCGAAAAATAGTGAGATGCTTTTTTTCTTTATATCTAATTTCATTTCAACATGCACAACTTCTGCAAAAAAAATGAATGGAAATTGCAAATAAAAGGATTTTTTTAAGTCAAAGGGTCATAACTCTGTCAAAAATGGTCCCATCTGCCAAAAACATTTCTTGACCTAGATAATATTGTGATGCATCTGTATACAAAATTTCATTTCAATATGTGCAACCTCTGCAAAGAAAATGAATGGAAACTGATGGTGGACCGACAAATAGACAGCAGCAAAGCAGTATGCTCTCCCTTCTTCGAAAGGGGGGGGGGGATAAAAATATGAGGAAAACATCCCTAAACGAGTGTAGTCTGCAATTACAGAAAAAGCATCTCATTGTTTTTCTAAACTTGAAAGACAATTTAATATTTATTTCAACAGTTTTCCGTACTTTCGATCGATCCGATTCAAATTCCAGTTCTCAAAAGGTAGCCTTACATTGCAGGGAACTGAATATAAGAAGACTGCTGTCTACCATCCTCACAGCCTGAATTCAACAAACACTTTATTTCATTTAGACCTACTTGTACATGTACTTTTCTGTAATTGCAGAGTAGACTAGTTTAGGGATAATTTCCTCATATTTTATGCCTCCCCCCAATCGAAGAAGGGAAGACATACGGCTTTGCTGCTGTCTGTCGGTCTGTATACAGATTTATCAAAAGAATTTCTAGGTCAATTTCTAGTTTGAGTACGATCGGACAATTTTAGACAGATTTATGCCCCTTGGACTTAGAAAAAATCCAATTACTTAAATTGCAGTTTTTGTTCTTTTTCTTTGCAGAGGTTGTACATATTAAAATGAAATTGGGTGTAGAGATTTATCACATAAATATCTAGCTCAAGTTTTGTTCTGGGTACGATCAAGCCATTTTTGACAGATTTATGCCCTTTGGACTAAGAAAAATTCCAGTTATTTGGGACAGTTGGGCATAAGTGTTCTACAAACATTTCGTGTAATTTGTATTGTTTACACTTAATTTATGCATGTACATATGCATACCATAGACTTTTTTATGCAGACTTGCATTTAATTATAAGAATAAATATATGAATTCATTAAGTAATTATATATGTTACATTTTTGACAGGTATGAATATGATTATGAACAGACATTGCCATGAAGACTTTCATGTTGAAGAGTCAGGAAAAAAGCTCTTCAGTAGAGAACAAGATGACCCCCATTCTTGCAGTGACTTTATGCGTTTTGAAGGCACAATTTGCAACACATGTCTGATGGAACCACTCATGTACTGGGAAGTTAAGTGTCATTCTTCAAACGCAAAGAAAGTTGAAATTGGACAAAGCGTTGCACTCACTGAAATTTGCTTGGCTAGAGATGTTGACAGAATTAATACCCTTCTCCGGAATTACAACTCGTATGTTGCTGGTTTGGGAAAGAATTCCAGAAATAGATTAGATATTTTTTTCACAAGGGAAGGCAAAGAGATAAAGAGCAACGAGCTTTCGTGGATAAAAGGAAGAGATGTCGTCGTACACTTGGGTTTTCTCTTGGATTTACGTAAAAAACGTTTTTTGTTGTTAATGTCTATGAAAATACTCTTCTGTGTCAGTTTTTTTTCTATTAAAGCTCCAAGAGAGGACAACCCATATGGTGCAGTATTTGAGTTGACGCAAGGTGGGGACAGCATTGAAATTATTTCTGGAAAAGAAATCCGAGAATTTCCGTCCGTGTTGTTTGATCTCATTTGAACTCTCCATCTTCTTTTTAAAATTCTCAAACATCAAGAAAAAGTAATTCAGAACCGCATTACATTGAAACGTCTGATTAAACACACAAGGTTGTTGACAATTTTATGTACCTTAATACTATTTGATTCTGCCTCGAATAAATTTAATAGAATAGCCTTGAGTAGTTTCTTTACAATGTTTATGCATCGATCTTACAACAATTAATTTGATAGAGTATACTGAACCTACTATGTGACTTTATAAATGTTTTCCTGATAACATCATATCCCATGAGACTGTGGATCATCGTCTCAAGCCACGGTCCGGAGTCCGCATATAGCTCTCTCCTACCTGTGGCTGCTTGATCATTAAAAGTTTCGTAATTTTGAATATTTACGCCTTTCTATTGTGCCGTCATATTCAGTCAATGACAAGTTTTGTTTCCATCGCAAATGAAAACAACAATTTACAGTACTAGTATTTCGTACTATGCGATTGGGTATTGAAAGGTCACATCAAAGTTTTAAAGTTTGTATCACGTTTCTTTGGCAACCAAGGTTACAATCACTCACACACCTGTATTAAATTATGATATTAAAATTTTAATCTGTAAATATGAGTGCAAAAATATTTTGGTGATTACAGAAAATTGCTCTTAAATGTCTTGAAGATTTGGTTTTTATCCTTTTTCAGTTTGTTTATCTTGAAATTCACGTAAAAATATTTATTCTAACGTACTAAACACGTGTGTGAAATGTTAAACATTTTTCTCATTTATAACCTACACGGGAAAAATGTTTTTCCCATTTATAACCTACACGGCCCCGTGGGGATCCGGGTTAGAATAGGTCCTCAGTACCCCCTTGCTTGTCGTAAAAGGCGACTAAATGGGGCGGTCCTTCGGATGAGACCGTATAAACCGAGGCCCCGTGTCACAGCAGGTGTGGCACGATAAAGATCCCTCCCTGCTCAAAGGCCGTAAGTGCCGAGCATAGGCCTAAATTTGCAGCCCTTCACCGGCAATGGTGACGTCTCCATATCAGTGAAATATTCTGGAGAGGGACGTTAAACAGTATACAATCAATCAATCAATATAACCTACACGAATTTAATACTGGATTGAGGTTTTGAGTTACCAATACTATACGCAACTAGTGTAATATTTTTCGCAGTTTGGCTTGAATCGAGTTTGTGACATATGATGTCGTCGTCAAACGCATTCGAGTCGCACTTGGATGTAATAAATATTTAATAATACTCGTTATAATGTTGTTTGGTCACTTAAGAGACGAAGGGCGAGATAAAATTAACATTACACACTAGAACGTTAGCAGAGAAGTTTTTTTTTTTTGGTATATTAAATGGTTTAAGGTATTCGCTGCTTCCTACAGTGTAAGGCGACATACATTTTGAGGACTGAAATTTGGATCTAAACGATAAATAAGGACAGTGGTAAATTCAAATGAGTCTTTCAGTCAAGAGTTGTTTGCCAGTTCAAAATAAATAAATGAAATATATGGAGATAACGAACAGTATTCAGGATCAAAAGTCCATAAAAAATACAAAATAGGAGCAAAGCAAACATCAGAGGTGAAATCAGGTGACATGGAGGAGTGAGCATTCCCTGCCAACCGTTTACACCCGCCGTGTGCTCTTTGGTGTGATCCGGAAATAACAGGGAAATCTGTTGTCAATTCAGTGAGTAAATAATGGACTTACAATTAGTAAGAAAAACGTCAGTCAGCATTTGACTCAATGATAAATTGTATTTGCTGATAAGGTCATTGTATCGACCATAGAACTTACGAATTGATTACTTTAAACGAGACTGATGATATTTTTGTTTCGTCAACTTGTTTGTCAAAAATTCACCTCGTTTTAGAAATTGTTCATACGTAGAGCATGCTCGTGCGTATCAAATCAACTATG